GACGCCTGGGTCCCTCCGGTTGGGTGCTGGGGCAAGGGTCCCGCGGGGCTGAGGGTCGAGGTGGAGCAGGGAATCCAGCAGCATCCCCTGGCTGAGTAGCGTGAGACCAGCAGCCCCAGCGTGCCCCATTGCACCCCTCCCTCCCCCTGAGCTCCCATGGGTGCTGCAGGACACCCCAGCACCCACCAACGGGGCGGGTTTGAGCGACACGAGGGTTTTTTGCAGGGGGAAAAGCCACAGGTGCTCCTGGGCTGGCAAGAGCTGACCCTCAACGCAGGAATGAGCAGGGGGTTCAGCGGGGTGTAGAGAGGCTTTGGGGGTGCAAAGGGGCACGCACTGGGGTTTAGCAGGGCACAGCGGGGTGCAGAGGGACACAGCAGGATCTGGTGGGGTCCAGTGGGGTTCATCAAGGTGCAGTGGGGTTCAGAAGGGTGGTGGGGAGGCTCAGCATGGTGCGACGGGGTGCAGTGAGGTACAATGAGGTGACGCTGGATCCGTTCTCCATCGCAGCAGCTCCTGCGTTGCTCCGGAGATGGGGAGAAGGAAGAGAGGAGGAGTGTAGTCGAGGTTTGCCTGGGCTGCTCCATGCCTTTCCTGCTCCCTCCCTTGCTCTTCCTCCGTACACTCGGTATTTCCAGGGCAGAGGATGCAGAATCCGATGCAAAAGGCAGCGGCATGATCTCCATGTCAAACTCAATTCTCCCTAGTGCCAGCTCAGCCCCGGAGCCTCATGGAAATGGTCCAGAGGTCTTAATCCTCTGCAGTTTATCGAGGCTGTCCCGTGCGCTCTGCCCCAGGGCTCCCAGCTCCCGTGCCAGGCTCAGCCTCCGTGCCCCGCGGCAGGACGGCGACGAGGACTTGGGGACGTGGCGCTGCCCTGGGATGGGCTCGCGGGGTGTGAGAAGGAAAAGCTGCAAACGCACGTTGCACCGTGCCAGGCACCGCCTCTCGCGTCACCCCTGCCCACACCGACTCCCGGAAAGGGGCTTCATGAGCACGGCGCAACCATCCCGACGTTGGATGCCGGTTTTACGTGGGGCTGCCCCAGTTCCCATCCCACGGGCCATACTGGGGAGTGGAGAGGAAGCTTATCCTCTGGGTTTCTCCTTTTTCCCCGGGATAGAAGGAGAATTGATGGGGCTTCGAGCCCAGAGACAGGACTCCTGCGCCTTTCCCTTGCTGGGCGAGGAGCAGGGCTCCAGGGGCCTTCGCTGGCACGGGGAGGCAGAGGAAACACAAGCTGGGAGCTGGCAGCGCCGTGCGTTCCCGCAGAGGAGCGAGGGCTCGAACTTATAAATAATGAAGTAGCAAGCGTGAAACATTGATCTCTGCTGCTAATGAGCACGTCGGGGAGTGCAGCCCCGAAATGGAGGCAACAGGGAGGGCGATTCCCCCTTCCCCGCGAAGGGGAACCAGGCAGCCGTCCCCTGCCCACCCCGTGCGTGGCCCTGCGGGCGCGAGGCTCTGGGCACAGCCCCGGTGACAGAGACATCCTCAGCCCATGTCTCTCGGGGCTGGAAAGGCCGTGCCCTGAGGGGCATCAGGATTTGCCCTTCAGCCCTGTGTTTGCCCTGCTGAGCTTTAAGGCTGTGCCAGGATTTTGGGGGCTGGGGGGGGGAGATGGCTGCTTCTCCCTGTCTGTTCTCTCTGTCCTGGACCGCTGCAGAGGGATGGCTTTGGTGGGTGCCAGACCCCCCCGGGGTGCTGGAGGGGCTGTGAAGAACCAGGGCAGAGCTGGGGTGGGCCAGTTGTTTCCCCCTGGGTCTTCTCAGAGGGTTGGGACTGGTCCAAGCCCCGTCAGCTCCACCTCTGCCCCTGGAGCATCCCTGCATCCTGCACACGGCTGCTGCTGGGGAGCACCCAGCCCCAGCGCTGCACCGGCCACGGTGGGTGGAGATGGAGGGGGACGAGCAATGCCAGGGACCCCCTCATGTGGCCCGGTGATGACGCAGGATGAAGGAGGAGGTGGGAAAAGGCCACATAATCCCAGGATGGGCTTCCTCACAGCATCCAGCACGAGCCCCGTGTGCCAGGGGCTCCTGTCCTGGCTGCAGGGTGATGCCGTGTGCTGCGTGGCGGGGGGGTGAGGTCCAGCCCACAGCCTCCCGGGATGCTCCTGGGTGGGTGCATCACGGGGGGCACACGGGCAGCACTCCCAGCGCTGGGGGGGGGTCCCTGGCCTGCTGCGGCTTTCCCCCCCCCCGCGAGGTTTTCCCCCCCCCCGGCGGGCGCC